TTAATAAGTAGTTTGATTCCCGAAAATATTACGCTGTTATTTTTAATAAATTTTCGGATTTTTTCAGCTTTTTATATAATTAAAGTTTTAAGATTCAAGTAAACAATATTTTACTTGAAATTATTTGTGAAAGATATGATTTTATTATTTATTTCCCAAAGATATCGGAAGTTCGATATTTTCATGAAGAAAATATCTAATCCGCATCTAAGAATCGTGTGTATCATCTTCAACATTATCGCAAAATTCTCAGATATACAATAATAAGATTCCAATGAGAACAGAATATTCGCAACACGGTTTGTATCCCATTACTGGAGGACCGCATTACAAATGATCGTAATGACGCAACGAAACGTATTGTTACACGATACGTGGTGCGATCGTCGACTGGAAATTAAAAGAGTTTTGCGAGGACGATGTAAAAATGTTTTACGGAAATAAGAGGAAGCGGAAATGTCCGCTATCTTCGCGAGACAGCTCACATGACAGCGATCATTCTTTTAATGTAGGGAGAGAAAGAGAAACAAAATTTGTGCTAAAAAAAATCAGCAACTAAGGTTTTTAATTAATTGACGAAAATAAATAAATTGCTTAATTATTGAATTGTTCGCGCAATCGCGATATTAAATTTATTGTCTGTCGAACTTGCCATAAAATCAGTTTTTCATTATAAATAAAATATACGATATAAAATAAATTTATTGAAATCGAAATCATAATAGATTCAATTAATCAAATCGATTTCGCAGCAGAAACTGTAATAAATTACAACTAAATAAAATAAATTAATCACTTATACGCAAAATGTATAATCGATTGATTTGTTTTAACGTTGCAGTTCCTGCTGCAAAATCTGATCCGGATTCAAAAAGAAATTATTGATGATTGCGGTTAACCGCAAATTGCTATTCGAGAAATTATTATGTCATTATAAGAAATGATTTGCACCTTTGCTGATATCGTGCAGGTGCTTTTCATGAATAAAAAGAAACGCTACAATGATTATTTAACATTTTAATAATAGTGCGAACAAGCAGGTGATAAATCATTTTCAAACTATCGCTACAACGATATAATTTAAAAAATTTGCTCATTTGCTATAACAATATAATTTAAAAAAACGTTATTTTTAGTTGTTTGCGGAAAAAGAACGAAAAATAAAAAAAGAATATATTTTAAAAGTATTTTTATCACTTAACAATTAGTTACATCAAAATTGCATTTAAAAATTAATATTACACTATTGTAATAATTTTTTTAATGATTCAAAACACATTAAAATTTATTTTCTGGGAAACCTTGTTTTTTGAATTGTGTCGTTAACCTCAAATTAACGATATTTTCACAAGATCTTTAATGTGTAATGATTTTTTTGCAAAAAGTAAAAACTGTACGTTATTCTTAAGTTATTAAAAAAAAAAGAATTATATGAAATTATTCTGTATTATATGTATATACATATATACATATTGCAAGGAAAACTTATTTCTTGGTGCATCATACTTTCACCCAGGAAGAATTTTAATCAAGATTTTATTAACTATATAGTAACTGTACAATGTGACATACTTATCGACAGAGTTAACACTGCGCAGGATTTACTCTTCAGCATGAATTTACCAAGAGTACGTAATCTACGTATCTACACTTGATCAAATAATTTTCCCCAGCTCTCACAGAGCTCTTAAATCAAAATTAATTGTCACAAGCCAAATGATATCGATTTTATTTTTCAATATATTTGTTCAAAGATTGTTTATAGTGATGAAGATACTTGGCGCCGTAGAAATCCTGGAAGTATGAACTTCTGTAATCGCGATGGGTGCCCATTGCAACGTTCACCTGCTGTTCAAGAAGCCTAACTTTTCTGAGTTGGTTCTCATGGTATATGTGATGCAGAAATTTCTCGTATTCCTGTTGCGGCGACGGAAAAAAGTAACGTTGAAGGAATCTTTTAATTGGATGCTGAAACAAATAAGAAATAAAGATCATATTATATTTTTCGATAATTACTGTTTTTATAAAAACAAGACATTTCAATAAAAACATTTTTGACCGATATACACTAACATTAGCAAATATTACACATACATTAATACGTATAATTATGCATATGAATGTAGATCAATATTTAGCGAATGCAAATAGGCAAATTGCAAAGTTGGCGTATATTGGCCACATCGTTTGAAAAATTATTTTTACCTGAAGATATTCCCATTCTTTTGGAACGTAATCTTCAGGGATTTCCTCGAGGGTGGCAGGACCGATGAATACGTTAACTAAGGTGATCACGATCCCCATAGGAATAGCACCGAATAAAAAGTAAAAGTGGAAATAATCTTTCGTTTTGTGCCACTGAAAGTTGCTCGGTCGTATGACAAATGTACGTTCTTCTGACATGCATCTTGCTTGTCCTAAAATGCACAAAAAAGATCTCTGAGATATGACAAGTGGATTAATAGCTTCTAATAAATACATAAATATTATGTATTTATTTACTATAAAAATATTTAAAAAACATTGATTGCTGATTAGGTCTTTGACAAGAATTCTTTTTTAATCGCAAGATATTTAGATAGATCAAAAATTATTGGTAAAATTCTAAATAATATATAATAATATAGATAATATAATTACACGTTTATTTTTATAACTGGATTTATAATATAATGAAGTATGTAAAGTGTCAGCACAAAGATCAGAAATAGATCAAAATTATTTGTAAATAATATAGACCTGGCTCCATCAATATAAGATAAACTTGAATCTCGGTTCAAGTTATTATTTATATTCTTGTTTTTATCAATGTAGTTTAAATCTCAGTCTAACTCTTTTTCTCTTTGTATTACACCATCATCTGTAATTCTTGCTGGAAAGCACACAATAAGGACTAAACTAAGACTAATCTTATATTGCTGTGGAATCAGTCCGTAATAAACAAATTTGCTATGAATTTTTTTTAGTATCACATGAATATGTGTAAGATGTTGATACTCAGATGTTCTTGAAATGAGCAAAAAAAATGATTATCGAAATTAGTGACGAATAATTAAAAATTTTCAATGTTTCGTAACAACTCATTTTTATTTTTATTCGGACGTGTTTCGGTTTATTCTGTTACACGAAACACAGAAGAATCATACTCCATCCAAATGCACTATGCGGTCATTGCGTAACAAAACACAGTCTGCTTTCGCAGAAGTACATTGATGAAATAAAAGACACTCGTTCGACGACGCGAACAATCGCGAGCAACCGTGCATGGATAATCACCATTTTTTATCAATGCTGTTCCGGAGCCGCTATTCTGCAGCAATTTTTGCCTTGCGGCACGCAAAATACTACTCCACACCGCCATTTTTCTCCGATAACATGGAATAGAACAAAGTGTGATATGACCTTGAAAGTAGATCGAAAATGTAGGGCTCTTATTTACCGACTTGAACATAAAAGATCGCTATTTTATCATTATAAGCCGGTAAGATAGAGCTATAAGTACAATTTCTAAAACTATATTATGTAAAAATGAAAGGAAAAGAATTATCAAAGTGATAGAAAAATATATTTTTTTACGTTTTTAGAAAATACGGAATTGCAGTAATTTCCCTTCAATTAAATTTAGAGCTGCTTACAATAAAATATTATAAATAATTCGTGTAAGAAAATTTAAATTATTTCACAAACAAACTTAATTATCACAAACACAAAATTAATATATAAAAGTATTAAATGTTGTTGGTAAAATATATCACTAATTAATTGTCATTTTTTGCAATTGTTTTTTTCATTATTTTGAATAAAATATTACACGTAAAAAAAATGTATGTTTAATTAAATAATGTAAATTTAATTTTAGAAATTTTTAAAAAAATTTTAGAAGAATTTTTAAACGATAAAACGTATTCACATGATTCTCGTCGATTGAGTTGGAAATCGTTTAGTTACAATCCTCAACACGTACGTTTATAGCAACATGTTCCGTAACAATAAATGGTGATACGTATACCGCCAATTAAACCGGGTTAAGTGAGCAATTGAACTTGAGAAATGATTGTAAATTACCGAACACTTGGTAATTCATGTGACAGAATTCGAAAAAATTCTGAATCGTATCGCCGATCTTAATTTATTTAAATTTATTTATATTTATTTTTTTAGTTTTTTGTTTCTATGCCAAGGGGAAAAAAGATAAAAAAAAAGCGAAACACAATAGCTTGGTGCGCAATAATTATGTAAATCACATGACATAGGTGATAAAAATGTCTTTCGCGGAAGGAAAGAAAAAACATTTGTCACGTCATTAATATGAACAAGCTGTTGATGTTATTATTTCACTCACATGTTATAATATCTTGATAATCAACGATTATAATCAAAGCTGAAAAATAAATTTATTTCAAAATAAATTTTTTGATATGCGATGTCAAGTTGCGAGGTCGTATCGCGATAGTGTCGTTCATCTAGCATTTTTATTGCAAATAAGAATAAGCCGCGAGTATTAAAAATTCTATACTCTTTTACGTAACATATCGTATTACAGATGACAAAAATGACAAAGCTTAATCCTCCGTATTTATATTGTATACAATAGATCCCGATATGCTGATACTATGGTATTCATTCTTTTCGAGAACAGCTGATTCACGGTCGAAAGAATTTCAAGCGCGCCGATACACGTTGTCGTGTCATGCAAACATTTCCTATTCTCTCATCGATAACGTCAAAGATTAATGATAACGCAGGGTTACAAGCGATATCGCGATGTTACATTAGGAATGAGTCATCAATTGCGGATCGATAGAAGAATCGGAGTCACTTTCAATCTTGGATCTTCTTTTATCAGACGTCTTTTACGTCATGAGAAAATAAATTCATTACTTTGGATCTTTACGAATAGATAAAAATTTATTAGTCTTTACTAATTTTATATTTTTACTAATTTTTACTAGTCTTTATTAATTTTGTATTTTTCTATTTTTTATTTTTTTTTTATTTTCGAAATGAATATTTTCATTTTAAATATTTGTATGAAATATTTTTTATCTTATTGTATCAATATATATGCCATTGATTGCGTTTTGATAAAATTTAACAAATAATTTTGATAAAATTAAACAAACGTAAGTTGCTTAATTAAATGGGAGTAGATATCTTTTGAGGTCACGAATATTTTTTTTAAAGAAGCTACGGGTTATCTCCGTGTCTTTATATATTTATTAAATTAAATGTCTCTCAAAGTTCATTTAACGTATCAAAATGGAGATAATCCGCAAACTGCTAGCTTCTTCGAAATTGAAGATTTTTAAAAATTAGAAAATGTCATGGCTTATTTCGATAATCAATAAACGTTTTGGTTTACAAAACTTTTTTCAGTGTTAAATACCTGTTGAAATATTTGTTGAGTATATTAATGTAAAATTAATTTAATTATAGTTCGAAATAAGCCATGATATTTTGTAATTTTTTAAGAAAATATACGAGCATTTTTACTCTAATCTTAGATTTTAATTTTTTTTTAATTCTTTTCGTAATATTTCGAAGTTTTCAAAGATATCTCAGAAATTTTTAGTATGAGATTTTACCTGCTCAGAAAATCTTTGACTAAAATTATAATTATACATTTTCATATTCGATGAGTAAATGTTGAAAGACACTTCAATCAGCATACAATGTTTAAAAAATATTCTTTAATATAAATTATTTATTTATTTATTTATTTA